TTGCGATTTACGTATTTGCATTGCGATTTACGTATTCGCATTGCGATTTACGTAATCGCATTGTGATTTTCCAAATTCGCGTTGCGATTTACGTATTCGCATTGCGAATTAGGAAAATCGCAACGCGAATTTAGGAAATCGCAATGCGATAGTCAGAATCGCGTTGCGAATCTGGAAACTGATTTGCGATACCGGAGATCGCGCTGCGAATTATCGATCACATTGCGATTTAGTTGGTCATTTTGGCAAATCCAAAAAAAGTTGGTTAAAATCGTATATTATAAGGCATTTTTGGTCACTGAGGTTATTTTCTCTTTAAACTAATGCACTATTATAATTTTTTAAATTTAAAATTCCTTTTAACGTTTTAAAGGTTAGATTAACCCCAAAAAAATTCCCAATTCCTAAACCTAAAATCCTTTGTCGCTCCCCGATTCTTCTTCGTCCGGCCACCGTTCAGCCCACCTCCAGCCTCATTCGACTCGGCGTCGACCGGCGAGCAAAACCCACGCACCATCGCACTGTGACTCGTTGTCAATCGACGCGAATCGATGTTTGAAGCTTTTCTGTCTCTACCCCCCGATGCTCGGATTCTCTTTGATTTTCCATCGATCCGACCGGCCATTCAGCACACCGCTTGTACCACCGAACTCGCCATCGTCGTACACTTAAAACCCAACTAAAATCGTCGCACCGTCGTTGCTCTATTGTTATCACTCGCCGGTCACCGTTGAAAAAGTTTGAACATTTTAAAATTCCACACTCTGTCGTGTTTCTTCAAAAAATAACACATGCATGAGACTCCCGATGTGTCCATCTACAAGACTGGAAAATTTCACGCCGAACCGACGAACGCAAGCGCCATCCCCTGCGCGTGGGCGTCGTCTATCAACCAGGGGAGTCTATTGACATGTTGAACCGATCTGAATCGGTTGGACCGATCTGAATCGGTTGGACCAATCTGGACCGTGCCGCCTGAACTGAGTCGAGTCGAGCCACCGAGCCTGGGTTAGTCGTTGACCGTTCACCTAGTTATTGGTTGTTGATCGCCGTTGATCGGCTGTTGATTTTTTCCGAGAACACCTATCCTGATATTTTTTTGACGTCCTGGTCCGTTTTGCCAAATTATTTTTCACTGATTAATCTCCAAATTTGATTCGTTTTTCGCAATTAAACTCTGTTTCTGATGTAATTTCTGTTGATATGTATCCGAGATATTATTGGATGTTGGATTCAAGTTCGAGAACGATTAAATAGAGTTGAAATGCTTGACCAATTAGGTTAGAAAATTGAGGTAATAATTTACTACCCTATGCATGCATTACGATATATGTTGGTATTGTTAAATGCATGGATGATTATGTTTTGTCTTGTTTGTATAGTTATTTATTTCTAAACACTGAAAATACCTAGATGAGAGATTACAGAATTACCCTTGAGAGGTAAAAATAGCCCAGATTGACCATGATTGAGAAAGTACCATGAGAATTCGTATCTAATCCGATAAATTACTGATTTAACTGTTAAGTTCCTATTTTGTTTGGAAGATTTCTGATAAACAATTCGTAACCTCTGAGAATGCACTAGACCCATAATTTTTTATTTATGAGTATTCACCCGAAGACTAAATTATCGAAAAATACTCTCATTGTCAGAATTGTTCAAAATGACTGAAATAAATGACAAGTTTGAATTAAATGGAAAGACTAGATTGAAGAAAATGACTGAAATACCCATGAAATGTGAAATAACCAAATTACCCCTAAAATATGAAATAACCTAAAATACCCCAAAGCCCTGGAATGATTGAATACCCTTTAGCTCTATGATGAATAAATCTACCTCGAATACCAGAATGACATAAATACCCTCATGACTTGTATTAACCAAATGCCTTTGGATAACTTCTGAAGATACAGGTAGAACTTTAAATGCTATAACACCTTTGAGGTTTATAGAGTACGACCTAATTAGGTCAATTATCCCTATACTATTATAATGTGGGAAGTAAATAAATACTGCTTAAATACTTATTCGACTCCTCATGATCCGTTCAAAGATGATTCTGAAGGTGATCAATTTGATTCTCCAATGCAACCAGTTTCAAGATATGAATATTCGTGAAGTTTCTCTATCTACATAATTGATAAGTGTTGCCTTTGCTGGGAATTGTACAGTGTGATTGGAACTGAAAACTTGTTTAAGATGTTTGAAATTTGGAATTTTGTAAATCACTACATACCCTTATTAAATTGATTTATCAAATTTCTCAGGAATTAAATGACTAATATGCTCTTATAAGCCCGATTGATGGAATCACTTTAAGAATGTATGAGTCCTAAATAAATTTTGATGCAATAATTACTGAATATCTTACTGATATATCTGAATATTATGATCTTGATAAATCATTTCCTGAATGACTGATGAATCTGTTAGTTGTCAACCCTTTTTTTTATAGGGATCTCGTTCTAAAATTTAATCAGTTTGTAGAAATTTTGTGGCTCGCTACCTGATAAATACCAAGTAGCCTAAAAAATAACTAGATCATCTAGTGTGTTCCCTATGTGTTATATGATTATTTTATCTGTCCTGAAATGTGATTTACTAAAATTATTGTTTTACAGAATCTTTTAACTGTTCGATATTCTGATTTACTGATGTATTGATTTACTGTTTATGAATTATAACTACCTAATATGTGCTATATGGTTACCTGTTTTCACTGGAAAATATAATCGTTCCTGATTTATGGATAATAGAATCTATTGTTTACTGTATGAACCGATTATTGGGATATTGTTTGGTAGGATTCTGGAGTATGGAGGTTCAGCTCTGATCAAGTTGGTAATTCCTTACGGACCTAAGGTATTCCTTGGGTAGGCTCTAAGGCCCGAAGGCACTCCTTTAGTGTGGGGACTGTATTTTGGTGTGCGGATGGAGGTTATTCATGTTATTTAAATAACTACATTGTCATTTTTACAACATTCGACTAGATCATGATTTTGATATCAAAGTTACTACTCAATCTGATTTCTACTGATATTATATGTGTAGGAGTCTGGAGTACGGAGGTTCAGATCTGATCAAGCTGGTAAATCCTAACGGACCTAAGGAGGCTCTTGGGTAGGTCCTTATAGATGCAGTTCTGGGGAAACTGCATATCGATGTTCGGTTGGAGGGTATTACTGTGGTTTTAAAATATGTTTTAAACTACTAATGTTTTTAAAGGATCTGTACATATTTCTATGTTTTGTTGGAACACACTAGACTCCCCAATTTAATCTTCTGAATCTATCTTTTTGAATACTTCCTTCGGACCGTAAATTTATGTTTGTAACTGAAGACTTAGCTAATGGATTCTAAATTTACTGCTACAATCTGATGATTTCTGTCCCTCTAAGGAAAGTTATGCTTTACCATATATCTGATGATTTATTGCATATATTTGGTAGTTTAGTATTACTGAGCTTTCCAAAGCTCACTCTATTACTTACCATTTCAGGTTAAAGAGTTTGATCATGTGCTTGTATCGACATTAGTAAAGGAGTCCCACCGGCATTGCTTGCAGAGTACGTTGCATGTAATTAGGGGGCATGTAGGTTGAATTCTATTTTTAATATATAAATGATTTTCTGAACTTGTATTTTATTTATAAATTGTTTTATGATTTTACACGTTTTAACATAATTTTAATTTTTCATGAATTTTTACTGTGAGTCGCTCCGGTGGTCTTAATAATGTTACAAGGGTGCGTTCGCAAGGACATTAGGTAATCGACACATGGTCGTCGGTAATGTTACATTTGTATGTTCACTAGAAAATTAGGTGATTGACACGTGGTTACTTGCGGGTACGCTATGCATGTCTGAGAATTTGCATGGATCTTACATTCATGTCCCCAAAGGTTTGTACGAGTAGTATGTTCATTTATATGGAAGATCGTAGAGATGTATGTTCTAGAGTCCTATGATTTGAAGAAGAAGAAATGAGAAGGTAAGGTGAAATAGAGGAGTGTAGGTGAGAAAAATAAACTTTTCCCCTTAATTTCCCAGGCGTGACAAGAGAAAATCAAGGAGAAATCAACCATGATTTTCTTAAATGGTATATTTACCCTTTTGATCCTTTCTCATTTGATCTCAATTAAAAAATCTCCCTTGTTATGACCAATTAGGCCTTAACTCGCCTAACTGATCTAATCATGCTCTCACATCGACATATAAACTTCTCAGGTCCACTCTCCTATGTTTTCTAAAAAATTCAAGTCATTATAGTATCATCTAGTTTTACAACCTTATTTCAAGTCCTTTTATAGATCAAAATTTAGGTCAACTTATATTTAATATTTTATTAATTTAATCAACATATTAAAAAAATTAAAAAAATAAATAAACTTTATATTTGCAAGCCCTCATTACTCTTCAAAATATTTTTTATGCATCGTCAAATGCTAAATATTTAACATGTTCAAAATTTTTAAATTTTTTACTGTCTATGACAGTTTGTCGAATAAATCATAATAGATAATAATAATAAATATCTAAAACTAGTAAAATAGTGATAGAAATTCTATACTTTATGTGACAGTTTGACATTCTATAGCCTCCGGTCATGAAATTCTCTCACGTGGACATAGATACATATTTATGTGAGAACTTAAACATTCTTGCATTATTTTCTCGGATGGATTGTTGATTTGTTTCCATTTTTCCAGGGAAAATGACAACTTTGATTACAACAGTAACATGCTTCTAATGTCGCACGGTTAAAATAAGTTTTTTTTCCCTTTGAAAATGCTTTACATCACTACTACACCTTATTTATATTATACGTGACCACAATAAGCAAATGTACCTTTGTTTATGCGCTTTTAAGGAACAACATAGAAAATTATACAAATTAAATACTGGACAACAAATACCCCACAAGCTAGGCTTATAAAAACATCTCTCCCCAGCAGAGCAAATTAGAGTATCGATTGCTTACTGAGAAATAAAGATATGGTCCAATTTGAAGCATGGAGATCTCATCAAAAGCACCCAACAATGGCAGAGGTATACAATCTTTGACACTCTTTTGTACTGTCTTCTTCTCTAGAATAACTTCCTGAGTTATTTGTTTTTTTTACTGTGTATATTTAGGTGACCGAGGAGCTAAAGAAGATAACTGATATAGGATTCCCTATAGCAGCTATGAGCTTGGTGGGTTACCTGAGGAACATGGTTTTAGTTGTTTGCATGGGAAGATTAGGAAGCCTTGAGCTTGCTGGTGGGGCTTTAGCCATCGGTTTCACGAACATCAGTGGCTACTCGGTCTTGTCTGGCCTTGCATCCGGTATGGAATCACTTTGCGGTCAAGCTTTCGGCTCAAGGAACTTATCGATGGCGACACTTACTTTGCATAGAACAATTATGATGTTATTGCTTGCTTCTGTACCTATTGGTTTGATATGGTTTAACCTTGAACCTCTCATGCTTAGCATCAATCAAGACGCTGATATATCCAAAGTCGCGAGCCTTTATTGTCGGTTCGCAATCCCGGATCTTATCGCCAACAGCCTTCTTCACCCTCTACGTATTTACTTGCGTAGTAAAGGAACAACTTGGCCTTTGCTGTGGTCAGTTTTAGTTTCGACCCTTTTTCATCCCCCTATCACAGTCCTTTTATCCTTTACTTTACGTTTAGGCATCGCCGGGGTAGCAATTTCCACTTTCATCACCAATTTCAACACCCTTTTCTTCCTTCTTTGTTACATGTTCTACACGCAAACTACTCATTATGTCGCTGAGGACGAGTCGATACGGAAGCCATTGTCCCCGACACCACCACCGACACCTTCTTCGACGGCTCTAATTGGGAAGGAATGGGGAGTTCTTCTTCGATTGGCGATACCGAGCTGTATTGCTGTTTGCTTAGAGTGGTGGTGGTATGAATTCATGACGATTCTTGCGGGATACTTATCGAAGCCTCGAGTTGCTTTGGCAACTTCGGCAATCGTGATACAAACAACGTCTCTCATGTACACATTGCCGAATGCACTGAGTGCATCGGCCTCGACCCGAGTCGGGAACGAGCTGGGAGCGGGCAGGTCGAACGGAGCGCGGTTAGCAGCGGTGGTAGCCATAGGGCTAGCCCTAGTGATCTCGTTTTTGGGATTAATAGGGACCATCATGGGGAGAGAAGCATGGGGAAGAGTTTTCACAGAGGATAATGAGGTTCTAGAGATAACCATGATTGTACTTCCCATAATTGGACTGTGTGAGCTAGCAAATTGTCCACAAACCACAAGTTGTGGGATCCTAAGAGGGAGTGCTAGGCCCGGGATTGGGGCAACCATAAACTTTTACTCGTTCTACATGGTGGGTGCACCTTTGGCAATATTCCTAGGCTTTGTTTCCGGACTAGGGTTCCTGGGGATGTGTTATGGGCTGCTAGCTGCTCAGATCGCATGTGTAATCTCCATTTTGACTGTGGTTTTCAGGACAGATTGGGAACGAGAGTCGATCAAGGCCAAGGACTTGGTGGGCAAAACAAACCAAACGCTGCTCAACAAATGTGAAGAAGGGAATTTGGGTTTTGAAAAGTGAAAAAAGGAAATCATTGAGGAAACATACGCAGAATTACGCCCATCTAACAGAACAAATTCAAACTACACTTGTTCAACTCCATTATCATTTTCCAACTCATGTTTTATATTTTATGTACCTGTTTGTTTTTTGTCTTTTCTTTTTCTTAAGAATTAGTTTAATTCCCCCACTGATTTTTGCCCATGCACTACACCATGTAGCCATGCACTTTTGTATATCAATTATCAATTAATACTAATCATAAAAGCATAATTATTGGTATTTTTTTAGATATTTAAGTTTTTTAACAGACAATCAATTGATTTAGTGAGATAAAATATTATATTCTTTAAATAATGTCAATGGTTTTAATTTTAGCATTATCTTATAATAGATCTTTGTAGTATCCGATCTACATTAATTGATCAATAAATCAAATAACGATGATTATAAAACTATAGTCAAAGGTCATGGAACGGAAAAAGGGTTTACAAATGATGGCATTCAACTCCATTTATTAATCGATGTTCACTTCTTGAAAATAAATTTTAAGAGAAAAGATAATGGAAAATGTATATACTTAACTTAAAATTTTCAGCTTTAATCACTTTTAAATTAAAATGATTTGTGTTCATTTATGAAGATAAAATATAATTAAATTTCCTATTTTCTGCCATCCCCCTCTGCTATTTCTCATATATTTTTTGCATTAATCATTTTTAAATTAAATTATTTGTGTTTATTTGCTAAGATAAAATCAGGATGAATGTCTTACACATTTTCAGCGTCCCAAACGAAATTTGAAAATAGATCTCTATAGAACGAAAGTATATTGAATAATTAATTTAATATTTTATTAATAAATTAATAAAATCAAAGAAATATAATTAAACTATCAAACATACTATTTTCATTATTCTATTAAGAAAACACCGTAAATACAATTAAAATAATAAGAGTCGTCCACTAACTTACAATATTTTCAAACACATTATTTTTATTATTTTATGAAGATGAAATGTGAAATATAATTAAATTTCTCCATTAACCGGATCTGGATAAAATATAATTAAATTTCTCATTTTTCATCTTGTGCTTTTCTACTAAACTAATTTAAAATTTATTTTTTTCTCACTTGCCCCTCTCTTTTTACATCTCTTTACTTTTTTTATTCTACCTAGCATACAGTTATAGTTTTTACATTTTTATTGCTTTCTCCATAGTTTTTCACCTTTGTAATTTTCTTTCCCAGTAAAACCTTGGATATAAATTCAGATACTACCCTTTTTTTACTTTTTAAAAAAAAGCTATACCATATCTTTTGTCGTATTATTTTTTTCCCTAACTTTGCATAAATACTTTATTTTAATAATATGATATGGTTACAAAGTATTATATGTTTAGATTTTTTTCTTAGTCATTAATAACGTATAACCACTTTGTAGACGTAGCTGCTCAAACTCAAAATCTCTAAAGAGAACAATACTTCATTATACGAGATCGCTTTTGATAGGGCGCTAAAACAATAAGCAAAAGAATTGCTACTAATTAGAAAAACCATTGTTGTCTTTCCCAACGTATTATTTCCCATCTTCCTACGTATTATTTCCCATCTTCCTACAAAAAATGATCTCCTCCTTTTGAACCCTCATGAGGCTCAAGATGGAGTAATAATATGATATATGGTAATCCTAAAGATACCACAAAAGATACCAAATCACCAAGCTAGCCATAACTAGCCAGCCAGGGGACCTATCTACACAGTATTCTGCTGGCAAACATGTGCACCATGTGCTTGTCCCTAGGTTAGGTTGGTCATCTGAGCTCATTCAGACCTAAAAACAGTCTTTTCTTAGATAACAACACAACAACTCAAAACATCAGTGTCTTCACTCACTGCCTTCTAATCTCCAAATTCTGGGGCACTAAATTCATCTTCGTACTGCACAATCAATCCGCTTCAAATCTTAGAAACTAAAAGCTTTATGTAAAGGTAAATAATGGGTTCTCTTCCTGCGTACTAAACAAGTTTCTTATAAAGATATTTTACCTTTTGAGACCTTTCTTAAACCTATGGCTATAGACGTTGAGTTTCTTGCACACTTTCTTGCAATGGCGATTTGTTAAGCAGCTACTTTTCAGCTGGTTTCAAACTTGAGAAAAATTTCAACTGTCAAAGATTACGTAGTCTAACTTCATCATAGCTGCCAATAGAAAATGAACTTGAAGATTGATGTTCGTTGAAATGTAGGAAAAGATTGTGCCACCTAATTTTACCTCTTTTCTCTTTTTGAATCCAAGGGAACTTCATGAGTGGTCCAACATTTCTGCTGAAGAAAAAACCAGTAATTTTAATGAACATGATTTATGAGTGTTCATATAGGAGAGTAGCTGTATATAAAGATTTCTGTCGACAAAAATTGCAACAAAGTGTACTATACATACATACATATATATATATATATGTTTGAGCCGTTAATGAAGCAGTCTTGCCCTCAGATTTCGCAATCAAGACATGAAAGCCGCCGGCAGTCCATGAATATGATAAGGAAGAAGAAGCATAAACTATTTCACAATGATATTGATATAACTTCACGAACATTACTTTTCAATGTCCAATCTTAAATATCCTTTGGGTCATCGGAGCGATCTACCGTAAAAATCTCGAAAAAAATTAATTTTTTTGTTAAACCGCATAAAATCATAAAATAATTTATAAATAGAAAAGTAAAATTTAACAATATTAAAAAATAAAACATATTCCAGACTCGGATATAAAAACAAAATACAAGTTACATGCCCCCTAATCACATGCAACGTACTCCGCAAACAACGCCGGTGAAACTCCCTTACAGATGTCAATAATTGCACTGGATTAATACTTATAACCTGAAAAGGTGAGTAACAGAGTGAGCTTTAGAAAGCTCGGTAATACAGAACTATCAGATTATGCTGAAGAACATGAATATAACATATAAGCATATGTTTCCTTATTGATTCAGACATCTACAGACTTTTACGCTAAGCGAGGTCCCACTGATATCTCATATAATAAAAGACAGTAAGCTTTCAGTTCAGAGGAAAAATGTTTCGGATGACTGGGTTCAGGAGATCAGAAAAGGGTGTCTAGTGTGTTCCCACAAAACTAGTGAAAAGATACATATTTTTTTAAAACAGTAGCAGTTTAAAACGTATTTTTCAAAAACCATGGTAAAACTCCCCAACCGAACGCCATATGCAGCTCCCCAAAACTGCATAACCTAAGGGAGCACATTGGGGCCTAAGAGCCTATCCAAGAAAAATCTCGGGGCCACAGGGCCTACCTAAGAAGATCTCGGGGCCGTAGAGCCTACCCAAGGGTCGTCTTAGGTCCATAAGGAATTACTAGTCGGTGATGAATCTATATAAGGAATTACTAGCAGCGACTGAACCTGCCAGAGTCTTCAGTTATACCAGAATCCCAGAGTATCACATATAAAAATAATTTCAGTCAATAAACAGAGATATAAGAAATCAAAGCAGATATCAAAATAGAAATCAGGGAAAACATCCATGTGATCAGGGAACACATTAGAGGTTTCAGATATTATTCGGAGGTACTTGATAATCTTACCGGGCAGGGAAACACGGATCTTTAGTATATTGATAGAATGTTGAAAATTAGAATCACTATCGAAAAAGTTCATTAGCTGACGGAATCATCAGTTATTCAGAACGTGATTTATCATTATCATATAGTATTCAGACATTTTTCTGAGGCACTAGGTAATTAGAAAGGTCTTTAGAATCTTTTGCATCAGAGTTACTCATGTTTTCAGATATAACAAGAGTGATTCCATTATCCAGGAAATCAGAGGCATTTTGGGCATTAGGTTCTTGGCTAATTCTTAGCGATTTGAGCCGATAAGGGAGAAACGAGGATTCAGGGCATTTACGATTAGTATCGATCTATCAAAATATCGAGTTAACTTGAACTGTACAAGTCCCATCAATGATACATGTCAACCGGTCAAATTGTTGCACTTTCAAAGTATTCACTTTTTAATACATATAATTCTTTTCTAATTGATCATCTTCAGAATCATCGTGGAATGGGTCTTAAGGATAATACATCATGTAAGTTCGTCAGTGTTTCCAGGCTTATCCAAGTCACTCACTTAACCCTAGGTGATTGAGGATACTTAGGTCATTTAGTAGTCAAGTCTATATCGGTAACTTCGAAGTTTCTAGAGTAATTCAGTCGTTTCTGAAATTCGAATACACATCGTACTTCCATTCAGTTTAACTTGGTAATATAATATATTCATTTTGGTATTCGAGGTTGATTTGTTTATTTTAGAACTGAGGGTATTAGTTATTACAGGGCTTGGACGTGCTTCGAATCATATTACACTTTATGGGCATTCCAAATAAATCAGGAGTTTTATCGGTGATTCCAAGATTCCAATGGATCATGATATAAATTCTCAGGTCATCTCCATTATCATAGTCATCCATATTCCTTTTTACACTTTAAGGGTATTATCGTCATTTCATTCAATTTTTTCAGTGGCATTACTTCTGATAACTTAGGCTTGAAAGTATTATAGTTCCTTTAGAATTCAGAGTACTTTGTTCATTTGATCATTGAAGGTTATTTTCACAAGTAGGGGATGTCTTGGTCCTTTTACAGTACAAGGGCATTTTTGTAATTTTACCCCATAGTGTTATTTTTAGCAATTTCTTATCCAAATATTTCCAACCTTTAATCTCTAACGAGATTAATCAGAATTTACGCGTTCTGAGATTGATTGATTTACTGATTAAATCATTGACCTGAGATTTGTTTCCGATGAGCCTACCAATTTCTTTTTCGAGTCGTTAAAGTCTTATACAATGTTCATTCTTTATTCCAATTTTCATCTGAGTCTAATGATAGTTAACTACACCTAATGGACCAATCATTGCCATTCATGCATTTACCATTTATCAATAGGTTCTGAAAAGCATACAAAAGGTAATAGAATATTACCTCGGTTTTT